TTTATCAATTTGAAACTAAATTTCCTTCCCTCCCAAATTTGCGTAATGATCTTCAAGCCAATAAAATTTAATTTTTGCGTGATATCTGGAAGGGAGATCGTCACAAAATATAGTCAATGAAATCAAATGTCCACTATGCTGATAAAATAAAAAACAACAATGAATTCAATTATTGAAATTAAATAGCTCTTAAATGTAGAATAAACAAATTTTTTTATTTTACCAAACAGTTCTCATCGGTTGGAAAAAAAAGATATTTATTACTATTGCACGATAAATGTTTATCATCAAAGAAAGAAAAAGAGTCACGTAGATCGATTTCAGAAAAATAAAAAAATTTTTTTTTGAAATTTACCACCCAGCGAAAACAAAAAATTCCTTCCTAAAAAATTAGGTTTGAAAAACAAAGATTTTTGTTTACAATTGCAATTGCAACCTGTTTTATAAAACAAGCGAGCTTTTACTTTTTTTATGCATTACACAACCACTTTGCTGTGCTATGCGAGAACAAAAATTCATTTATTTTAAGTTAGATTTTGCTCCTTCTTTGTCGCAAAGAGCAAAAAAAAAAGACATCACTCGGGTCAAGACAATAGTCTATGCTATTAAATCCAAAAGATATGAATAGGACAGCCGTTTCCACTTTTTTTTTTCGTAGAGAAATTCCCCTCAAGCTATTTCAGCGCACGGAACTCAACCTTCTACATTCAGCTACTATGTCCCTATCCATCTTCAAGAGATCAAGTTAAAATTCAAGTTTACGAATGCGCACACTACGTTCAAACCATGAAATCATTTGTCGTTATACAACATTATTACAGGAGAGACCGTTCTGATGGCACAAAATTTTAACCCACGCAATTGTTGATTGACCAATCAAAATCATGAATTTAAAAATAAATGTTAATAAAAACGTTTGATTCATTCGTCAACACAAATGGTTCGAATTTAAGTAGTTGGAAGCAACCATGCGACAAACCTTTGAAATAGTCTAATAAATAAAATTGTACTATTCGAAAATGTATTTAAAGGGTTGGTTTTCAACTTGGTTGAAAAATAGCTCTCTTCCTAACTCTTCTCTTGACCATATCTCTCAATATAATCAAAATAACCTTAATATAACGAATGTCGACGAAATGATTGTAAAAGGTTTTTTTGCATGTTCTAATAAATTTTCCACCATCAACTGTATTTTTTCGTTTAATCTTTTTGTCACACTTTCTTTTAGTGCGTTGACATTTTATTTGATTTACATATTAATACAAAAAGATTAAAAAACGCGTTTTTTTACCAATCAGTCTTCACTGGAATTTGAATTAACCAATCAATTGTTTACGTACGTACAAAGAAAACAGGTGAAGTCAAAATGTTTGTTACTAAATTGGGGTTTTAATTTTATGCAAAATGAGACAATCGGTGAGAAACCTGCACGAAGGTCAATCACCTTACTGATTTTGGAAGGTGGTCATGGCATGCAAATGTTTTCGTTTCTTACTTGTGTTAATAAAGTAAAAAATACAAATAAAAGATTTGATTCGGAAATTAGGTATTTCAACAACAAATCGGCATAAAACCCTAATTTTGGCAACATCTGTGAAAAAAATAGGTCATTTATATATATATATATATGCAAAAAACAATCTCATGATAATGAAGCTGATTAATTAATATCTAAAATTTTCTTTGATTTAATTTATAATTATGTGGATTAGTTCACAATGTTGCATGTTTCGCCTAAAATATTATTATTATCAATTTCTAATTCCAGTAACAATATTAACAATATTAAGGCAAAAAATCTTTATTTTTTTTAAATTAAAAATAAAAAAAATGGGGTTTTTAATAAAATAAATAAAAAAATGTCTTTTCTTAAAAATAAATTAACCACCCCCCGTTTGGTATTTTTTTTTTCCACAAAAAGAAGTCTTGCGTGTATAAATAAATTTAAAAGAGAGTCTGGAGGAACATAACCATCTTTGAAGATGTAAATCATTTTACCTTATTCCATACTTGCGTAATTATTTGCATAGTGGTTGGAACTTAAACAATAAAAACATTTGCCGGTGTATTTTGGAAGGATATTAGGGCACTCATTTGGTTTATGACCTTTATTCCTCTGGGTGATATAGACATCTTTTGCAGAAATTAACATTCTAGTTGTGGGAGTGTAAGTGGTATTTGTTGGTGAGCTGTATAAAGGTTATAAGGTGATGGTGGTTCTTCATTAAATTTTCTTTTATAATTTTGTAGTGATGGTGACGAATGATTGTTTGTTACTAGGAAAAAAAATTACGCAGTGACACTTGTTTCCTTTGCCGATTGTGATCATTTTTATGAAATTTTGCATTTCCTTGTTGTCATCGTTGTTTTGTTGTTGTTGATGTTTGTATTATCTAGGGGTAAGTAAATAAATGGGGGGACAACTCAATGTTACACATTTAGATCTTGTGAATCCAAAACTGTCACGCCTTAAAAATTAAAAATGATGCGCATTTCATAGTAAAAAATTAAACATTACATATACACAAGTGTTTTTAAGCAGCTGATACACTAAAGTTATGTTAAAAAAGTTGAAAGGTTTATGCCTGTCAAATTATATCTTGATTGGGATAAAAATGGCATTTTTATTAATTTTTACTCTTTTTATTTATTAAGAATTGCAAATATTATTGACATTAAAATAATTTTATTCCATGGAAAAACACTTGTTTTTAAATGGTCAACAATTAAAGGAATTAGTACATTTTTTCTCTTATTAGTTGTTTGTACTCCAAATGCCCACAATAACCAGAGAAGCTCTGTAACTAAAAAAATTTTAGAAAATAAAGTTTCAGCATCATCAAGTTTTGCCCATAATCGAAGTTGAGTTAATGCAAGCACTGGATCAGTCAGTAAATTTGCTTTTTTTATTTGGTTGAGATTCTTGTCTTTTTCTTTGTTTGTAGGATTCTGCTTATTTGAATGCACTATCTTGAGATTCTCTCTGAGGCCTGCTGTACCTTTTCCTGATATGTATCCATTATGTTGTCTCCATGTTTTTGGGCTAAAAATAGGAAAAATATTAAATATTTGATACCTTCAATATTTACTAATAGGCTTTTAGACTATATGATAAAATACTAAGAATATTATTAACTTATTAGTATGCCAATACCTTAATTATTTTTTCAAAGAATATTGGTCAGATATCAGATTCTGAAATCTGATTGATGCCCTATTACCAATTTGGCATCATTTGACCAGTAAAAAGAGAACCAACAGATTATATATAAGCAATGAAAGATGGACCCTAAATTAACACAAAAGAATTTCAAATCATGCACAAACATAACAGCCTGATAGTTTGATTGGCATAGTGGTGTAGCCTTGATTTCCATGCAATTTTTTTTTTTATTATATAATTAATTATATATCTTTAATAAAACAAACATGACTTAGCTATTTAACCATTTCCTTGTATGTGAATGCCTCCATCCAACAAATATTCATGATGGTCATGATGATTATTCAATACATTTGATGTTATAATTGGCATAACAAACAATTGCATCACCCAGGTAGTAATGATACCAAGGCCATGCATAAATGAAACTTTTAATAATGCATGTCTACCCAGATCTCTGGGATTCACAAAATAAATTATTTTCCCTGATTATCAATTATGGTTCCTTATGAATAATAAATCTGATGTTGATTGCAGGTGTCAGATTTAATTAAAATTTCCTATCACAAACATACAAATTAGTGCTTTCACACACCCTCATAATTGTGAAATTTTTCTCACAAGTGAAGGCCATCCATATGTTGGAAGGCTTTGGACAAAACTTTCCTTATCTTCCTCTCAGACCAGGCTGGCTATTTCCATATGAGCATTGATTGCTGATGAGAGTTGGCACTTGTGTGATGATTACTTTATGTTATATCCCTCTCTAGAATAAAGTTGGTGGGTTAGGGCAGTAGACAAGGAAACTATTCGAAATTCTCCAATTCAGGAAGTTGCAACCTGGGTTGCTTTTAGATTTTTCACCAACAACCCTGCCCCATTTAAATAACAAGTTCAGTTGGTCAAATAAAAATAAAGAAATAGAGAACTTGGGAAAATGATTGATTTATAAATAACATACCAAACAAAATCTGAACCATTTATTTTACAACTTTCTCCTTGATGCCAATGATCATGGTGACTATCACAATAGGAGTGGGCAGAGTCAAACTGCCACCTTTATACTTGTCAAGATACATGCTCTCATTGAGCTACACTCCTCCAATCTAGGGTGGGTTATATGGGAAAAGGTCCCCATTTAAAAAACAAATTCAGTTGATCAAATAAAAATTAAAGAAACAGAAAATTTGGGAATGATTAATTTATAACATACCAAAAAAAAAATCTGAACCATTTTATTTTACAACTTTGACCCAGGTTGCACAACTTCTTGGTTGCAGAGCCAGTCATCTTTACCCTAGAGGTAGGATCGTTGCAGTCAACTTTTCGGCCAGCATGTCAGCAGCCTTCTCTGGTCAGACAGTATGAGGGGAAGATTAGTGAAAAGTGTCCTTACATTGATGCAAGCTCTTATAAATTCCAGGGCAATGCTACCCCCCCCTGGAATTCCGTTGCATTGTTGTATCATCGGGGGGACAAGTCAGATTAGCCTTGTGTACACGAGGAATGTGTGAGAATGACTGTATAGTGTTCAAGTAGCATGTATGCCTTGACGTCTGTAAATTTCCAATAATCAAACATAACATATTTAAATTGTTTCTTCTGTAACAGTTGTATCGTCTTGTCATTTTCTTGTAATTATATATTTAATATTATTAATGTTAATTACGAAAAACAAAAACGATACCAATCGTTTATCATCAAGAATCTCGTAAATACCCAAAGAGACAGACAAGATCTGCTCCGCGTTTTGATTTCAATAAGACATTTTATTAAGTAAAGAATCAATACATGTATATCAATATTTATAAAACAATTAAATGATTAAAAAAAAATCAATACAATGCAACAAAAAAAATAGTGTACCTCTCACCATCAATAAACAACACCTTGTCTTCTTTAAAGCAAGCCATACTATGCAACAATGTTTACGCTTTCTCGTCTTGTAAGAGATAGATAAATTGTTTTTCCAAAAATAAAATAAAAAAAAAAAAAAAAATCAATCGCGTCAACAATAATAACAATATTCGTACAACAACACACGCGTAAATAAAATTTTTCTTGTGTATGTCGATCTAAATAACAATCTTTTTCTTTTTTTTAAAAAAAAAAACCATGTCAGTAGTTGAGAAACAAAAAAGAAAACGCAAAGGAATCGAGCTCGCCGATTCCAAAGGGTAAGTATTATTTAAAGGTCATGGTGGTTGCATGCGACTGCTGCTACACTAGTTGTTAGAAAACCATTGCTGCTATTCTAGTTAGCAATTGATTAAATCCTTGGCTTCTTTTGTACTTCATAGGCAACAAGGCTCTCTCTCATCACAAGAAAATGTAATCTCTCCAATAAGACTAACGCTTTGTTTTAGCAAATCAACATTAAAAAAAAATTTTTTAAAATATTACTATCTTTTTAACTTATATTGCAATACTTTTTTTTAAGACAAACGTCCATGATGAGCCAGAGCTTGATATAAATTGTCCCAGTTCGCCACAAACAGGTGCAGAAAGCAATTGTGAAGATCTTGTCAATGATGATGATGGACAGCAGATGTTGGCACCAGATTATGAGAAATTCCGTCAAACCTACAACAGAATGGAGACCTCAAAAAAATGGGTGTTGAGTACTGGAACTGTTGTAGAAGATAATCTTTATGATTTTGGGCTAAAATGTACCCAGGAGCAGTAAGTTTTGTGTTTATTTGTGTTTTGTTAATAATAACATGATTACATTAATATGACAACACCTCATTTTTTTCATAAATAGCCTTTCCCATTCCTTTATATTAGATCCGGATGACAAAAATTATCTGAATAATGGTGTTTTTACAGAAAGTGAATTGGCTGAGGTTCGGAATTTTCGGGAAAAACAACTCCCAACAATGCCTAAAGAACTTTTGACATACCTTAACAGTTTCCGTCCAGTAAGTAAATTACTGTAAATTGTTGTATATACTTTTATGACTTGTTGCTTCTCTAAGATTTATGTCCTTTTGAGCAGAAAACAACTACTGACCTTAGGCGATTGATTTTCCGGCAAGAAGATATGGATCAAAACTTCAATTGGCAGAAAGATTTTGATCGTGACTGGATACGAAACACAGTTTATAATTTGCATGCACTATTAAATTATACCTGTGCCTTTTTATGTTTCTTTGAACTGAACTCTAATCTAACTATACATTCCAATTTTATAGGTTGCGGGAATATGAAGCAGAAAGTCTCAAAAAGGATCACTTAGAAATGTGGTTGTTACTGCATGTCTGGAGCTTTATTGATAAGGCATTTGAAAATTTAGGAGATGTAGAGGCTGTGAGGTAAATATATTTCCTTTTTTTTGAAATTATGAATTAATTCTTTTTTCTCACCAAAGTTGTTCTTTCCATAGAGGTGAATCTTGCAGCCTTTCATCATCTGAAAGGAAGAATAAGCAACGGACCATTTCTGCACTAACAAAAGTTAGAAGGAAGATATTAGGTCGAAGAGGGGATTTGATCATTCGCAAAATCTCTTTGGAATATGGATGTTCAGAAGCGGGAATGATTTATAAAGGAGAAAATGATACCAAATTATTGCAAGAGAGAGGCCTAAAAACTCCTAAGATGATTAAAGATATGTTTTATCATCTTTGCATAGCTGTTGATTGGGACGAACAAAAAATTCGAAAAATAGAGACAATTGGGTTCTTGCATGCAGGTATGTTTCTTTTTTGTTGAAATCCCCAATCAGAGTTTTTTTTTAATTCAACTTTTGATCATTTGTCAAGGGCTCACAATGATGATGCTGAGGCTTGACTCTCCTTCTGGCTATACATGTCGCATTACACGCTCAAAAACTTTTATCATTCCTTCACAAGTTGCTGAGTTTGGTGCAAAGGCACTTCCAGCCATTTTACTAGCATGGGTGGCAAAAGTGAATTTTTGCTTAATATCTATTTCTGTTTGTTATAACTTTTCATTGCTGTATCTTAAAAAAATTTTTCTTTGTACTTTAATTCCCACAGACAATTGTTGCAAATACAATCCATTTGGTTGAACAAGGAGATGAGAATGATATTAATGAAGAGGAACTATTACAATAATTACTAAGATCATGCGAAACTTCGAATATAACACCTCCACCATTGTCAAAGCGAGCAAAGATATACTTGCCATCAAACTCAGATTCACCTCCAAAAAAAAAGCCAAGGATTTTGTCATCGCAGGGGAAAAATTTACCTATATTAAATTTACAATAATCAGTAATTAATATTGATTTAATGTGAAAGTAATTGCTATCAAACATCTTAAATTTGAATTGGTCTATTGATAATTTATATGAGCATTTATTTTATTAACAAACTTGGGTTAATTTAATGATAGTTACAGTAAAATAGTTAAATTTTTAATATGACTAAGTAGGAGTTCAGTATTGTGGCGATGGCAACTCAATAATAACTTTTAGCAATAAATTTCTTCATTTGGTGAAAATTTAAGGATATTTTGCTATTGAGTTAACTCAAATATTTAATAATAAAAATAGCTATAGTATAAAAAAGAGAATCCTTGTGATGATTCAACAATAAATTAATGATTAGTGGTTAGAACCACGTTCAATATTTAAATTCAGATCCAAAATTTTTCTAATGCAAAAACTGGTTATCAGTCAGTGTGCAAATCCTTTCTCTTTTTTTAATTAGTGTGTGTAACATTTGCTTGAATGCCAAAAATTTCTTTTAACATTTATAACACATAAACTTCTTAATAGATTAAAAAAATGATATATATAAAAAATTTTCTTGAAGTTTCAATAAATATTTTGGCATCTTTTATTTAAAATAAAGCCGCTTTTTGAACTCATAATAGTGGGTCAAAATGCACATGAAAATTTACACTAAAAACCTAAACTACACATTTCACCATCTTGTGAAGCTGGAACAAAAGGTAAAAAATCATCAACATGTTCTTTCATATAATCTGCTGCTTTTTCCCTTAAGTCTTTGTAATTAATCTATCAGTTTACAAATTATTATAATTATTAATATCATTATCATCATCATCGTCATCATTATTGCTTGTAAAATATCAATCAATCAATCAATAATATTATTACAAACATTTATTTGATATTTCTCTTGCAATTGATCAGAAATTGCATTATAAAGACTAATAATATATGATTAATCATTAGTAATAATAATGTTTTTATAATAATAGTTAATTAACTAATTAAGTTTACCAATGACCATCTGGATTTATCTAATTTGTAGTGAAGAAATAAATAATATTTGTAAAAAGTAATCAATCAAATCTTTCATATAGAGAGTTATTTCAATGACAAGAAATATTACCTCTTTAATAGTAAACCCTAACTTAGATATAATTTGATTAATAGAATTCGACTCAACTTCTTTCATATTGACTTGGTTCTTTATTTCTTCATCTGCCTCTTGTTCTAATTCTTTCAGTTTTGCTGCCTTACGCTCCTAATTGTCAATATCTTGTATTAATAATATCTTGTAGATATAATAACAGTATTGTTTCATTGATACTATCATTAAAATAAATAAATCAAACTGATAACTTTTTACATTTCAGCACCTTTCTAAGTTTTTGACGATTCGGCTTCTTTGAGGGTGACAAAGTTTGGTTCTGTTTATTTTCTTCCATTTTTTTAAACAAAGAATATGACGAATTTAATTTAGTGCGATGTATTTAGCTTTAAAAAGGGGATTTTCGGTCATTTTTTTCATATATCAGTCACAGGACACGTCACGCAGATCAATAGGGAGTTGTAAAACATTTTTGATGATCTGCATCATAGTAAAATTTTACAATAAAGTGACTTCTAATCCCCATTTAATACCCTTGCTGTGTAGCAGCCACGGCCAAATTTGAGATATAACTTCTTTATCATATGTATCTGCTTTAAGAAAATTTTTAAAGCAGGTTGTTAATAAAACC